AAACACCCTGGCTACAACTCCTCCAGGGTGCCTCTTAAAGAATATATAGATGGTATTGATGTAGTTAACATTTTCATCTGTTTATTCATGTATATATGTTCTTGGGACAACGAGACAGAAATACAACGAAAATAAAGCTGGGAAGGTTTTATGCATATGAAACTCAATGGTAGTTACTTGTGTAAGATGGAAGTGGGGGGAAAAAAGGGAAGAACTTTTACTACTTGAGAGAAGTAATATAAGAGGGCCTTTCATTTTATAATATAAAAGGAACATAAAACACTTAGCTCACCAAATCAAATGGAAAGATATGTACTATTCTTAGTGCCACAGTCCATAAGAAGATTAATTCAGTTTGAGGAAGGACTAAGACAGGTCTTTCAGATCAGTTTTTTCCAAGTTACCAAATTATTCTCTTTGAACACAATTTAAGTTCCCAGTGAAATCTAAAATATCATACTGCAAAAGACCAAAAGAACTATAACCAGGGTATTAAAAATATTCTTCCCAAGTGAACTGTTTGGTATGGAAATTGACAGAACTTTTTTCCAGGGTGCTGTGCTGAGATGGTTATAATGTCTACAGGTTTCACAACACAATTTCCAGAAGAGCTCCAAGAAGACTTGAAGAACCCAATTCAGAAGGTCCTACTGCTTTTGTAGGCAAACTGGTGAAGGCTGGGATCACTAATGGCTTACATAATGAACCTTATCAGAAAGGAAATAGGAATGATTAATAATTCTCTAAGAAGAGTCATAGGATTACAAAAGCCTATTATTTCAGAAGTGGATGGCCAATCCTTCTTCCCAGTCTGTCTTAATCTGGGAGATCAACTTTAGAACAACATCTGATAGATAAGCACTGTACCCAAAACCACACATGACAGACATACAAATATATACGTATCTAGAACAGCAACATGCAGAAGTATTTAGAACAACAACATACAGAAATTTGACAATTCAGCTTTGCTCTTCCACAACCCCCTTCACCTCCCACCCTGTAAGGCCCATAATTAACCACTAATATGATGGCTCAGATTCCAGTCACTCTTGTCCATAATCTATGTGTTCCCAGCAAATATGATCCTCCCGGCTCTGCAACTGGCAGGGTGGAGGGTCAGTGTAGAAGAGGAAAACCCGGGACAAGACTGACTGACACAGTGACTGTGGCAATGGGGTCAGGTGTGTCAGACACAATGAAGTTGGCTAGGACAGGGCAAGTTTCAGAGCCACTGTTCATCGAGTCATTATAGGTTGTAGCTGACCAGATGGCACATAACAACAACAACAAAGGAAGAATTACATCAGCTCAATAGAATAAGCACATTAAGGTCTATATAAGCCAAAAGACTGGTAATATCTCTTATTCAAAAAAGAATTCTCCATTAAGTAACTCTTTTTTATAATAAAACTAGTTGCCATCAAGTTGACTCTGACATAGCAATCTCCTATGTTAAAACAGAAGTGAACTCCACAGGGTTTTCACAGTTCTCTCACAAGGTGTCTCTAAATGGTTTAGAACCATTAACTTATCAGACAGTAGTTTGTCATGTAACCTAGAGATTTTTCACATTATAAACCCATGAGTTTTGAATGGACTCCAACTCATGGAAACTTGACAGAGCAAAGTTAAAAGTGCCCCACTGGGTTTTCAAGGCTGTCCTCTTTATAGAAGCAGACTGGCTACCACATTTGTTCCCAGAGAGCAGGCAATGAGTTTGAACTGCTGACCTTTTTTGATTAGCAGTCAGTGCTTGACCACTATGCTATCGAGGCTCCTCCTTTTATAATGGAGAAGTCATAGTATATCCCAAGGCTTTAATTCATAATTATAATCTTACAAGAGTAACACAAAGTTACTACTCATTACCAAGCATCAAATTCTGTGGTCCTGAATCTATCTTGCTATATCCACTGGGCCAAGTCAGAGAAAATTTCCTGGTAATATCAATTAATGGCAGGATGCATTTAGGTAATGGAGCTGAGTTTATCACCATCATAAATGTAAGATCACATTAAAAGTTTTCCTTCCTAAGAAATTTTAATCTGATGAAGAGGTGTTGCACGGCTGTTTTAGGCTCCCTAGTCTTTCATTTATGTCCTTAAGTTCTAAGAGGATAGGAATATTCCTCCAAAGTAAATGTTATTTGCTAAGGTATACCTTTGCAACTAACTACACTCAACAAGCTAAGTGTTCGGAATGAGAAAGAGAGAGAAGAACTCTGCACAAGAGCAAGACACTCCAGATGACAATAAAAATGCCCAGTCATCAACTTCTCAGTCAACGGTAAAACTTTGTAAGTAAAAATGTCCTCTTAATTCAGTCTATTTTCACCAAGCACTTTGGTTTCTCCTTTCTCCTAATATAGTAATTTAAAAAAGGTCTCATATCAAAAGATCTTGGCAAAGAATTGTGCATTAGGTGTTTTCTGCTAGAATGCTTTAAGTTTGCTTTTTTATCTCCTATCTTGACAAGTGGTTATTTTGCATTCTGTATTTGTGCTTCTTTCTAAAACCATGACTATAAGTGTTTATTGTTTCTTAATTGGCAAAGATGAATTTTATTGGTAGCTAGCTGTCTAAACTGGTGGTGGGAAGTCCCTAAAAGAGAAAATCAGATAATTAATTAGATGTGACTCACTGTGGCTATGAGACTTAGAGCACATAGTCAGTTTGATAGTATTCTGTGATAAAGAGAATTACCTTCCTTTTTTACATAGTGTTTTTATACTTAAGAGTCTCATAAATTATCCCCATCTTAGAGTTGAGGAAACTAAGTCTAAAATAAGTTTCAGTGACACAGAGTTTAAAGAACTGATACTGAATCCCTAAGTAATGCCAACGCTTTGAATCTGTCAACCCTTTGAACAGAGAATCTATGAGCCCTCTAAAATGGAATGTGAAACTGTGTACATCAACATTTTTTCAGGGAAGAAGGTTAAGTAAGGAGTTTCATTTAACTTTCAAAGAAGATTTGTGATAGAAAAATCCTCTAAGGGCCACTAAAGAGAAAAACACATGATGTTTGTACTAAATAATCCTATTATCTAAAATCCAGATCTGCCATTTACTAGTAATGTTATGTACCTTCTTTAATTGTCAAGCTGACCTCTCAGAATTGTCGGGAAAATTAAGTAAGACAGTACACATAAAACACCTAATACTGTTTTTAAAAATATTCTTCTAACAACTCTACACATCAGAGACTATAGCTTGTGCCTCAGATCTGTTCATTCATCTTACACAGCACTGGTTTAGATGGGCAGCTGAACAAAGACAATATATTCCAGCTAGATACATTAGATACCTGCAGTTATGTATCTATATGAGACTAAATTATAGTCAGTGGAATTAAGCTGAAAATGCTGTATGGCTGTACCTAGGAATGTGCCTTAAGAGACTGCTGGTAGGTACCTTTCGGCTCTTCATGCCTAGCAATGGTGATATGAGGTATTAAGAGATGGCTGGAAATGGGATGTAGCAGAGCCATTATATTACATCTTCTCTTTTATGTGACACTTTTATATGATAATAATAATATTACTGTTGCTGTTATTATATGCTGTTGTGTCAGACCTGATTCACAGTTGACCCTCTAGTGGGTTTTCAGAGGCAGTAAGTCTCACGGGAGGAGACTGTTCATCTTTTCCTACAGAGCAGTTGGTGTATTAGAACCACGTGCGCAGCATAGCTCCTTAGCACTAAGCCATCTGAGCGCAATAATATCAATAAAAACTAATAACAGTAATGATAATAATAATAATAATAACAAGGAAAAAGTTAAAGTCATTGTGATGGAGTTGGAAATGACTCATAACTGACTCTCAGTGAGTTTTCAGAAGCTGGAAATTACACAGGAGGAGATTGTCTATCTTCCTCTCACAGAGCAGATGGTGGATTAGAACCTCCGGTCTTTGGGTTGGCACAACTCCTTACTCACTAGCCAACAGAGCTCTCTTACTAACAGCAATAACTACTATAACTACTATTTATATCGCCTTAAACAATGTGCAAAAGGAGATCTGGTGGTATAGTAGTGCATTAAATAGTAAACTGCTAATGGAAAAGTCAAGGGTTTAGATCTACGAGACCTTCCAAGTGAGAAAGTTTGGTATTCTTCCTCATAAAGATTTATAGCCTTTGAAAGACAGATAGAGGGTTGTTATAAGTAAACAACATGACATGCTGTTCTAAACATAATTTTGTATTCACCAGAGCAGAATGAAGTACAGTCTATTATAATTTTAGTTTTAAAAAAACGTGGCACAGAGATATTAAGTAACTGGCCCAAAGACAAGTATTTTTTAAGCTATTATTTTGTATTTCTAAGACTTGCAACTAGACTTAAACTCAACTGTCATGTCCTTTAAAAAGAAAGTGAAGTAATTATTAAATAATCAAGATCTGATGCCTAAATTCTGAATGCAAAGCCTTTCTTTCCTGGTGGAAAACACCCCAAGAATCAGGCTGCTGAGAAGTGCTTTCAGCATTCTTTCTCCAGCCATCCAGGGGTCTGTGTTGACACAGGATCAAGACTGCTGGGCTTGAAGAAATCAAGCTGCAGAATTTTAGTTTATAGTGTCTTTTTCTTTTTTTTTTTTTAAAATTTTACTTTATTATTTTTCTGTAAGTGTACCGTCAAATCAGATCTGACTGGTACAGGAGGAGATTGTCCCTCCTTCCCCAGCAGAGCATCTGGTGGATTCGAACTGTGCGCCTCTGGGATTGTAGGTGCAGCTCCTTACCACTAGGCCACCAGAGCTCCCCTTATAGTGTCTTAGTCCACTTCCAAGTTATCTGGGGGATGTCTATACATATATAAATTGACTAGTTCACCAAATAAACAATCTTCATAGTTATTATCATAATCTATTATTTATTAAAAATATGTCACATGCCAAGCATTGTGTTGAAGGCTTTCAAGTACCTAAATTAACAGACAAATATACAATAAATTAAAACTTCAAGAAAATGGTGTCACATACACACACAACTAACCTTTATCATTCTGGATAGGTCACCAGCATCGGCTAATTCCAAAACTATGTTCAGTTCGTTATCTTCTATGAATGATGCATAATATTTAATTACATTTGGATGGTTCAGTTGCTGAGAAAAGAAACAAGTATCAGGAAGTGTTACTTAAATATACTTTAGAATAAATTTATTTACACTTTCTTTTTAGTTTATATAATTCTTAATATGCTAACATAATTTTCTTTAATCTGAATGAATTTTGAAATAAACATTATAATTACTGAAAGTGAAAATACTTATAAATTAATATTCTTTTAATGCTCTTTTTTACAAATTACAACAAATGGTGCATTAAAGCTTTTAAAACCACAACTGTGACTAACAAGTACAAAAGTGTATGTAAATGAGTGACAAAGTTAAATCATCAATTACTGAAAATTATATTCCTCAAAATGAGAACTCTCATTTCAGAGCACTCTCCATGATAAAATGTCCTTTTGCTCTCTCTTTGATATTAATGCTATATTATTACTTTATTACTATATTAACTTATTTATTATTGTATTAATACAGTAGTATCACTTCATCAAGTATTTGATCAATAAATAAACAGCAAATGGCATCTCCTGAACATTTCCTAAATAACATGCCTCTAGAAACTCTATGAACTTTGAAAAATGTTGATAGTTGTTGAGAGGCTTCAGGCCTTTTGTTCATAGAGTCACTACGAGTTGTACTCAACTCGAAGGCAATCAAGAACAACAACTACTTAAGATTACTGTACTTAAAGACTGCTTTTATAACAAATATTATAAATATATAGAAATTAGTAATTTAGGGTGATACATAAAATCCCTAACAAAACTTTATTCTTGTAAAAGTGTGTCGGTAACATTTAGTCCAATCTTTAAACAAGTTAACATAAGGCGAGCAGTGTACCAACATTATACAAGAATTATATCTAAAACCATTTCTTTTCCTCTCTTTCTACTAATATTATTAAACCTAAATGTTTTGTTATAAATATTGTTGACATAAGTATGTCAACAATAAAAATACATATTTTAAAGACACACAGTGTATATTTGTGTATTTATAGTACTAGGACTATAAAGTATTAAAGTATACACATTTAAAAAAAACTGGTTCATCTTTCATAATTACTGGAGTAGTCAGAAGGTGTAACTCCTTTCCCTTACACTTATCTTTTTAGATAAATATGATTCATTTTAAGCACTCACACAAATGGCATATAAGTTGAAAATGTAACATAAACCACTACATTTCTCCCAAATGACAAGGCAAGTCACTATAAAAGCAGCAGTATAGAGAAAATGGAACTTTCACTTATACTCACTGAGGGCATGAGAAATAAAAAATTAATTTTACCTTTCCTAAACGGGACAAAAAGAGTCAGGTATATTATCAAAACATATGAGCATTTTCTATCACTACCTTCTCAGTGTATCACACACTGAAATAAAACTAATATGGGTTTATAATATATAACCTTTACAAGGTTCATGCACTAGAACTGTATATAATGTCCAGCTGCATAATCAAGGAAAAAAAAATTTATGCTTTAAATATATTAAGTCTATTTTCTCTGTTACTACTTTGGACAAACAAAAAACCCAAGCCCAAGTAACAGGCTGATCCTCCACAAATGGTCCAACTAAATTATTTGAAATTGAACTAAAAAAAAGTAGCCACAACCTGCAACTACAATTCCAGAGGCGCACGGTTCGAATCCACCAGATGTTCTGCCGGGGAAGGAGAGACAATCTCCTCCTGTACCAGTCAGATCTGATTTGACGGTACACTCACACAAAAATTTAAAAAAAAAAAAAAAAGTAGCCACAATACTTGAAATAAGGATAGTATACATTTCAGCAATCTTCTTTTAAGTGTGACATTTTAATAAATTCTTTTTAGCAAAATATCAGAATATGTTAAAAATATTTAACAGTTTGTTCATTTACCTTAAGAAGATCTATTTCTTTGATGCAATCAGCACGTGCTTTCGCATCCATTAAATCAAATATCTGAAAAACAGAATTAAGAAGTGTATAATTAATACAATAATCATCTAAAGTTCAAGCTAGCATATAAACTGATGATAATATTCTATATACAGCTGTAGAGATCTCTAGTGGTACAGTCGGTAGGGAGACACAATGCTAACACAAGAGCTCTGCCTCCCTAACTGTTTGAATCCATCAGGAGCTCTTTGAGAGTGAGATGGGGAAGCTCCTTCCATGTGATTTATAGCCTAGAAAGCCCACTGGAGGGTCAGCTCTGAGTCAGTTACCACTTGATGGTTATGAGCTTGAATTTGGAGTTTATATATAACTATACTGCCAAGAAAACAAATAGGTCTTAGGGTGAAACGAAGTCTCTCTCCTTGGATGCTAGGATTTTGAAGCTCCGCCTCACTGACTTTGGGCATGTGGCCAGGAGAGATCAGTCCTTGGAGAAAGACATCATGCTCGGAAGGGTGGAGGGATAGTGCAGGACAGGATGACCCCAGATGAGATGGACTGATACAGTGTCTGGAGCAATGGGGGTTGGTGTGTCAGAATTAGTGAGACTGGCTCAGGACCGGGAAGGGTTCAGAGCTGCTGTACATAGGGTCGCTATGCATCGCAGGCAACTTAACCAACAACATTCTAAGACAGGTTTGGAAGCAAGAGTGACATCCACTTCCTAAACAACATGCCTCTGGAAACTCTATGAACTTTGATAAATGTTGATAGTTATAGAGGCGCTTCGGGCCTTTTGTTCATTGGGTCGCTATGAGTCGTGCTCAACTCAAAGGCAATCGACAACAACAACAACATACGCCTAATGGGGAGCTATGGTGACTTAGTACAATGTAAGAAATTATGCAGCCAACACAAAAGTGCAGGAGAAAGCTAGGCAATTCCCTCCCATGAGATCTGCTGCCTCTGACAAACTGCTGGAGAGTCAGCTACAGGTCGGCTCTGTCTCAACACTACACAACAACTAGTTTACAACAGTAGCTTTGCTGGTAAAAGCAGGTGGTATGAATTCACTAAGTCACTCTGGGGCAGAAAGATGTGCAATTGCCTCCCGTGTGACTTACAGCTTCGGAAAACTTGCGGGAGGATCAGCTATGAGTGAGTTTCAATTTAATAGCATATAACAACATCAATAACATATATAAACTAAGAAATCCTTCTGATCAGCTTTTGAGAAATGTGGAAAACTACAGGTATTCTATCTCATGCTATCAAGAAAGCTTTCATTTTTTCTTCCAAAGGCAGTTAGTATTAAAAACTAAGAAATAAAATAGTTAAGATATGGACACTCAAACAAAAAAAAAAGATATTGACACTCAAATGGAAAATAATAAAGGTGTGCTTACTGAAATAAAAAAAAAAATCCTAACAGTTAATGTATTGGAAAAGAAATTGACTACATTATACAAATTACATTATTTATAATTTAATCCCTATGAAGATGGTAATATTAGTGTTCCCACTTTACAGATGAAGAAATGTGGGTTATGATTTTTAAGCAGCTGACACAAAAGGTCACACTGCTAATTAATGAAGTGGTCAGAATTCACTCTCGAGTTTTCCAGCTAGAACATAAGCTCTAAACTACTAAGGTATAAAATCTCTACTTAAATCATGTTTTAAAGGTCTAAAAAGCACACATTCTTTAAGGAGGTGCATCACATTAAGGGACTAATAGAAAGAGAGTGAAAAAAATCTCACTTTAAAATTATAAAACATCTAGCACATAAACATCTACCTGTGGCATTAAAATTTATATGTGTGTATAATTCTTACACAGGTAGAAGAATCTGTAAAATGTACAAAGTATATGTACGATATTAAAATTTTATGGAAGTAAATGACTGCAAGATTTGGTAAAAACTCTCAATTTTTTTCCTCTTTGGCTCTAAATGTAGGAGTGTGTATTTGAATAATAGTTGGTTAATGAGTCTTCCTTATAGGTGTATGAATATTATCCTATTAATCATAATATTATCCTATTAATCATAATGTACATCAGGATAGAACTTGAAATTGACTTTTTGACTATGAATTCAAAACCCCTCTTCCTCTGTTTTTCTTTTGCTGCATAATATACCATGTAATTATTTGATTCTAAGTGGCCAAAGCTGGTCCATCTCATCTTATTATGCCTAGTATGTTGATGTTCACACGTTCCGTTTTATTTTTAACAAGTTCCAAGTTTCCAACATTCAAGCAACCTACATTCCATATTCCAAGGTGTGTCTGTATCAGGCCATAATAGTCTTTCCAATTACTTACTATGCATCTCAGAGTTGGACAATGAATAAGAATGACAGAAAAATAATTGAAACCCTTAAGCTGTGGTCTTGGAGGAGAGCACTGAACATCCCATGGACAGCCAAGAGAACAAATACGTCTTGGGGTGGGTGCTCCTGGAATGTTCTTTGGAGGCAAGAATGATAAGGCTTTGCCTCACATACTTTGGATATGTTATTAGGAGAAAGGGGTTATTCCTTAGAGAGGGACATGATGCCGGGAAGAGTGGAGGAGAGGAAGACCCTCAATGAGGAGGACTGACATGGTGACTGCTACAATGGGTTCTTGTGTGTCAAGTAGTGTGACGATGGCAAGAACAGAACAGGGTTCTGATCATGTGTTCATAGGGTCGCTATGAGTCGTACTTGACTCGATGGCGCCTAACAACATTTTAGGTATTACGGAAGCATCTGAGATTCTTAAAAATCTAACTCAGATCACAACAAATTAACATTTACAACCATGTCTCCCTGAGCAGATGGCCAGTGAGTAAATCACAAAGAAAGGAACTGTGCAACTTGACAGGAATAATGTGTTCCATTACTTTTTTTAAGCAAGAAAGGAATTGGCAAACACCTACCATGGAGCTCTGGTGTCCTAGGGGGTAAAGAGTTGCACTGCTAATTCAAAAGCAGGCAGTTCTAATTCTCTAGCTTTTCTATGAGACAAAAACAGACACATATTTTCCTGTGTAATTTACAGCTTCAGAAAACCTGCACAAGAGTTAGCTGTGAGTACATTACAACACAACAACAGCAAGAAGTTAGTTGGGTTTGAGTTGTACCAAGGGGCACTGACATCTTTTCATATGTTGCTTTACTTTCTACCACAATCACATATAATATATAATATGGTTTCAATTTAGACATGAGAATGGAGAAGTTAAATAACAAGATTATAGCTTTAAACAAAAAAGAACAGACTTATAAATCAATTAAAAAATTAGCAAAAGACTTAGTAAGGACGACATTCAGATGGCCAAGAGACATATGAAGAAATGCTGAAAATCACTGGCAATAGGAGAGATGAATTTCAAAACCACAATAAGGTACTGTCTCACCTCAGTAGCAGTGGTAAAGTTTAACAGGACAGTTAAAGCACACGAAATGTTGGAGAGGATGTGGAGAGATTGGAACTTTCGTGTATTACTGGTGGGTTAAAACATGGCACAACCACTCTGGAAGGCAGTTCGGCATCTTCTCAAAAAGCTGAACAAAAAAATCCCTAGGATATACCCCAAGGAAGTCAGAACTGAGATACACTTGGAGTTATTTACACCCACAATAGCAGGAAAATGGAAAGAACCCAAATATCAACAAACAAACGGGTTGGAAAATTGTGTTATGTCCATATAATGGAATACTACGCAGCACTAAGGGAATAGTGATTTCATAAAATACTATATAACATGGGAGAGTCTAGAGAGCATTATGCCAAATTAACTAACTCAGTCTCTTAAGGACAAACACTGTGTTAAGACCATTATTGTAAACATAGATGGGTAACTTATTAAGAATGGATAAAAAGTCCAAAAGGGGAAAGGAAAGGGGTGTAAGAGCTAGAGGGTGGGGAGGCAGAGAAATCACTAGGATAACAGGGTTTGGTGGGCAGAGGTAGTGGTAGTGAAAGAATTAACGCTTCAGTAGGGACCAGAAAAGAGAAAATAATTGAAGGCATAATAGGTCAATGCTGTATGTGTATATGAATGACTCTGCTATTACTTGCTATGCATAACAAAGCTGGATAATGACTAGGGATGACAGAAAGAGAACTGATATCTTTGAGCTGTAGTGCTGGAAAAGAGTACTGAATATGCCATGGACCGCTAGGAGAACAAACAGGATTGTTCTAGAGATGGTGAAACCAGGCTGCTCTTTGGAGGCAAGGATTCTGAAACTTCATCTGACCTACTTTGGACATATTGCAAGATAGGATCAGTCCTTGGAGACGGATGTCATGCTTGGGAGGGTGAAGGGACAGCACAAGAGAGGAAGAACCTTGATGAAATGGACAGACTCAGTGACTGAGGAAATGGGGGTAGGTATGTCAGAGACAGTAAGATTGGCCCAAGACAGATCAGGATTTAGGGCTGTCGTACACAGGGTTGATATGATTGCAGGCGACTCGACAATACATAACAACATATGAATGACCATAAGAAACACAATGTGAAGCAATGTGTGAAACACAATGTACATGAATGAAACACAAAGTATAAGATTTCTGTATGCAAACCACTACAAAGGTTTTTGGGTTTTTTTTTTTTAAGAAGTTTTTAACTTTCAAAGTGTGTGTGAGCGAGTGTGTGTACACGTTTATCTGTTTATGTGATTGACTGCCTTAAAAGCTACTGGAGGGCCAGCAATGGGTTGATTCTGATTCAATGAAACATACAAATAAAATAACCTGTAATTATCAATACTATATTTTCTAATTTTTAGTGTGAAACAGCTAAACACTAAATAGTATTATGGTTTCCAAAATAAGACATTCAAATATTAGAGAAATAGAAATATTATTAAATGAACCACATAAAAAAAGGAATCTTATCTCGCTTAATGGTTTACAAAAAGAGTAGTAAATTAAAAAGTACTAAAGTTTCTCCTACTTCACTTGAATGGCAGAAAGTACATGTGTTGTGTGCATTAGAAATAATAACATCTCTTTTTCTCCATTAGTAATTATTCTAACACCTAAGCCAAATAAGCATTTATTAATAA